GATGATGGGTGGATGTTGGGTAGATGATGGGTGGGTGGATGGGTAGATGATGGGTAGATGATGGGTAGATGATGGGTGGATGATGGGTGGATGATGGGTGGATGATGGGTAGATGATGGGTGGATAATGGGTGGATGATGGGTGGATGATGGGTGGATGATGGGTTGATGATGGGTGGATGATGGGTGGATGATGGGTGGATGATGGGTAGATGATGGGTGGGTGGATGGGTAGATGATGGGTAGATGATGGGTAGATGATGGGTGGATGATGTGTGGATGATGGGTGGATGATGGGTAGATGATCGGTGGATGATGGGTTGATGATGGGTGGATGATGGGTGGATGATGGGTAGATGATGGGTAGATGATGGGTGGGTGGGGCTGAACGGAGTTGACACATGCGAGACTACTGTCAGTGCTGGGGGGAACAAGTGGAAGTGTAAATGCTGGTGGGTGGGGTGGGGTGGGATGGGGAGGGAGGGTGGGTGGGTGGGGGTGGGTGGGGGTGGGTGGGGTGGGTGGGTGGGTGGGTGGGGTGGGGTGGGGGTGGGTGGGGTGGGTGGGGTGGGTGGGTGGGTGGGTGGGGTGGGGTGGGATGTGGTGGGTGTATTTTAAGCCTACAGAGAATACAGCTGCCGCCAGCTTTTGGAGGGGAAGTGGAGCAGGTGAAACGCAAATGCTTGTGGGTGGGTGGGTGGGTGGGTGGATGGCAGGATTGCTAGTCAAGTTAGGTTGCAATACTATTCGCGTCTCCTCTTCTCCCTGTTTCCAAGGCCAGCACGGGCCTCCTGATGCATGTCTTTGCACTGACGAGTTTGCACAACCGGATCATGTACGAGTTTGTTCTAGGGAACGCTCGGCTTGCTTGGCACACCCGGCACGCTCAGCACGCCCAGGCATCAAAACAAAATATAGTTTGCATGGATGTATGCTCTCTAGTATTCCCTCTCAAGCGGTCAGTGTATTAGATCCGAGGAAGTACAGACATGCACAAGGATATAGAAAGCAACTGCAAACCGCGCTCCAGAACTGGCTCCAAGATGGCAAGGCAGCCCCCAAGATGCTCTCTAGTATTCCCTCTCTCCCTCTCACCCTCTGTCTCTTTGCCCAATTACAAGTACGACGCTGTCTCACCCTCAGCCTGATCATGCACGAGCTGGTTCCAAGGCACACTCGGCATCAAAACGAAATATAATCTGCATGCCTATCATGCTCACTCTCCCTCTGTCCCTCTCCCCCGCTGTCCCTCTGTGACTCTGTCCCTCTGTCCCCCTCTGCCCATCCACAAGTACTGTACAATACAACCTGATCAAGTACGCGTTCTACTCCTTGTTGTTGCCCTGCAGGTACGTGTACAACTTGTTCAAGCAAGAGTTCGTCCAACTCTGAGTCGCTTTTGAGAATTCTCAAAAGCTTTCAGTTTCCTTTTCATCCCCTTGTTGCTCTGCAGGTACGTGTACAATCTGATCAAGCATGAATTTTGAGTCGGTCCAAAAGTCAAATGCCCTGCAGGTACGTGTACAACCTTATCAAATATGAGTTCAACCTCTAATTCATCATTCCAGTCACTTACCCCGCCACAAGTTTTTTGGCGTCCTAAGCTCACTTGTACCCCATGTTGTTGCATTGCAGGTACATGTACAACTTGATCAAGCATGAGTTCGACCTCTAGTTTCACTCCCAGTCACTTACCTGCCACTTGAGATGTCTCAGAATATCTCCCTTTCATCCCCTGTTGGCCCTGCAGGTACGTGTACAATTTGATCAAGTACAAGTTTGACCTGCACTTTCACATCCCAGTCACCTACCCCACAACCGCTCCAGATCTAAAGTTGTCAAAACTATCAAGAGAATTCATTTTTGTGCTAACTCTCAAAAACACCCTATTAATTGGATGTAGCTTCTGTATTGAATCCAGTGTCACGTACCCTGCCAGAACAAGAACTGACAGCGTACCCTGCCACCGCTCCAGAGCTAGAGCTGCCAGAACTGAATGGCAGGCTCTAGCTCTAATTCTGACAACCAAGGTCTGTAAGGCGACATGTGGGGTCCAGAAAGTTCATGTGATTTGAATGAGGTTGAGTGAGGTGCTGTACGTTCTAGAACGGTTGGGTAGGGTATGGAGCGAAGGACAAACTTGGGACATACACTGGAAATCAATGCGCTGGCATGCTGGCTCGGCCTCCCCTCTCTCCCCCCTCCCCCTCTCTTCCCCTCTCTCCCTCAATCCCTCACTCCCATCGCTATCCCCCCCCACATGGACTTCCGGTGTAGAAAACCTTCCCACATTCCTTCCTGCATGACACATGAGATGGATGGGTCCCTCCCTGCATTCGTGTACCCAACCAACCCCCACTTTCATGTCCCCCCACAAGGCACACGTGGGTCTCGACAATCGTCCCATCCATCCCCCCCTCCAAGGTTCAAAACTACGGTTTTCGTAAAATACGGTCATTTTTACGGTCGTTTTCTACGGTGAAAAAAAAAAAAAATACGGCCGTTTTATTGTTAGAGAACGCTGTTCACCAAGAAAAAATGGGGAAAAACAAGGTCAAATACTTCTTCAATCATGCCAACAACCGCACACTGCAAGAAGAGGTCTGTCCCCTTCATCCTGCTAACTTTCTGGTTCGATTTGGTCTCATAAATTGGCTGTTTTGTTAATTAAACTGAAATCACCTCCTGGAACCGTTTTAAACCGTTTTTTACGACCGTTTTTTACGATACCGTGTTTTACGGTAAAAAAAAAAAAAAAAAACGGCCGTTTTTTTTAACCCTGCTTCCCTCCCCTTTACCTCAGGCCGCCCAACGTGATGCCTCCGCTCCCCCCATTCGTGCTCCGCCAATCATGTGTTGCCGTGATCAGTCAGATTGAACCCGAACCACACAGTTGAGAGAGGTTCAGTGCGGTTTCTGCTCCATCAGCCAGTCAGTCATATGCTGCCGTGATCATGAGGTCAGTCAATCAACCTCAGGCTTAGCCCAACACACATGCTGTGTCATGTCACACTTGCCACTGTCGAGCCTCTTGCACGTGACGTGATGGAATTGCTGAGGGGTTCTGTGCGGTTCGGTGCTCCGCCAGCCAGTCATGCCCGCCATGCTCATCAGGTTAGTCAGTCAGTCAGTCAGTCAGCCAGTCAGTCAGTCAGTCAGTCAGTCAGTCAGTCAGTCAGTCAGTCAGTAAGTCAGTAAGTCAGTGAGTCAGTCAGTCAGTCAATCAGTCAGTTAGTCAGTAAGTCAGTCAGTCAGTGAGTCAGTTAGTTAGTGAGTGAGTCAGTTAGTGAGTCGGTCAGTCAGTCAGTCAGTGAGTCAGTCAGTGAGTCAGTGAGTCAGTCAGTTGTCAGTGAGTCAGTTGTCAGTCAGTTGTCAGTCAGTCAGTCAGTTGCCAGTCAGTCAGTCAGTTGTCAATCAGTCAGTGAGTTGTCAGTCAGTCAGTCAGTTGTTAGTCAGTCAGTCAGTCAGTCCGTCAGTCAGTCAGTCAGTCATTCAGTCAGTCAGTCAGTAAGTCAGTTGTCAGTCAGTCAGTCAGTTGTGAGTGAGTCAGTCAGTTGTCAGTGAGTCAGTTGTCAGTCCGTCAGTCAGTTGTCTGCCAGTCAGTGAGTTGTCAGTCAGCCAGTTAGTTGTCAGTCACTCAGTCAGTCTTTCAGTCAGTCAATCAGTCAGTCAGTTAGTGAGTCAGTGAGTCAGTGAGTCAGTCAGTTGTCAGTGAGTCAGTTGTCAGTCAGTCAGTCAGTTGCCAGTCAGTCAGTCAGTTGTCAATCAGTCAGTGAGTTGTCAGTCACTCAGTTTGTTGTCAGTCAGTCAGTCAGTCAGTCAGTCAGTCAGTCAGTCAGTCATAAGTCAGTTGTCAGTCAGTCAGTCAGTTCAGTGAGTCAGTCCGTTGTCAGTGAGTCAGTTGTCAGTCCGTCAGTCAGTTGTCTGTCAGTCAGTGAGTTGTTAGTCAGCCAATCAGTTGTCAGTGAGTCAGTTAGTTGTCAGTGAGTCAGTTGTCAGTCCGTCAGTCAGTTGTCAGTCAGTCAGTGAGTTGTCAGTCAGTCAGTCAGTTGTCAGTCACTCAGTCAGTCTTTCAGTCGGTCAATCAGTCAGTCAATCAGTCAGTCAGTCGGTCAATCAGTCAGTCAGCCAGTCAGTCAGTCAGCCAGTCAGTTAATCAGTCAGTCAGACAGTCACTCAGTCAGTCAGTCAGTCAGTCAGCCAGCCAGCCAGCCAGCCAGCCAGCCAGCCAGCCAGCCAGCCAGCCAGCCAGCCAGCCAGCCAGCCAGTCAGCCACAGCCCAACACACACAGCATACAATATTTGGCACGCCATGTACCATGTGTTTATGACGTGAGTGCTGCGCGGTTCTGTGCGGTTCGTGCTCCGCCAGTCATGCGCTGCTGTCACTTGTCCCTTCTTCGGTTTCCGTCCTCATTCCTGCCACGTGTAGGCTCAATGTCAAGAGTGGTTTAGAGTGGTCAAGAGTGGTCATGAGGGGTGATGAGAGGTCACGAGTCGCCTGCCTATTTATTAATCCCATCAGCAGGTCAGTTTTGCACTTCTACCTGTTCCTCCATGCCCTGCCACGTGTAGGTTCGTGAGTGGTCTGTGTGACAACTGAAATCCAGCACTGGGTCGGTCGGTCGGTGAGGGTAGCGGCACACGTGGCATTGTGGCACACGAGGGCACCCCCTGACAGGTGGTGGAAGTGTGGCATTGTGAGTCTTGATTAGCAGTAGTGGGTGGGGTGGGGTGGGTGGTCAGGTAGTCTGTTTCAGTCAGTTCAGTGGCGCGTAAGCATCCCCAGGCTGCTGGTTGGCGTCAGGTACTTATATTGTAGACTGCTGGAGGGTGGTGAAGGGTGGTGGAGGGTGGTGGAGGGTGGTGGAGGGTGGTGGAGGGTGGTGCGAGTGGCACGCAAGGGCTGTTTGCCTGCTGCAGTTGCCTTTGCTGCGACTGGCTGTCACTCAGGTGAGTGAGCACGAGGGGTGTGGATGGTGGTTGGGAGGAAAGAGAGGGTCAGACAGATGGAGGGAGAAGAGGGAAGGGGAATGGAGGGATGAGGAGGACTGGAGGGAGATTATGCAGTGTTTGGAAGAGGAATGGAGGGATGAGGAGGAATGTAGGGATGAGGAGGAATAGAGGGATGATATGCATCTGCTCGTCACAGACAGACCCATCATCCCAGCACGCCTTAGCACACGGCACCCCATCACATGGCTCCTCTCCAGCTTCTCGGGCTCACGACTCCCCACAATTACCATCACATGATACCCCATCACACGACAAGTGATTCCCTCTGCCTCTCCTCGCCCGCTGCGCCACGCATTGCCTGCACGCCCTCCCCTCCTGTCCCATGTCACATGTACTCGCTGACGTGGCACTTGCACCCGCTGACCGGATGAGTCAGAAGGAAGGGGAGGAGGGGGAAGTGGGGGAGGGGAATGGGGGAGGGAAGAGGGAAGGGGAGACGGTGGAGGGGAGGGATGGTGGAGGCTCGAGAGGTGGATCTCAAGCAGGTAGATCTGGGGGAGGCAGGGAGAGCAAAAGGAGTGAAGGGAGAGGGGCGGCGATGAGCTGGCGCATTCGGCAGCTAGTGAGGCACGGGCTGGTGGAGTAGTGGGCGGAGAGAGGGGCATTGGTTCCTGCGGCTGGCTTTGCTGGTAACCCTGCGCTTGTGCCTGGTATGGTTACATCCATCGGTGCGGTTACGCCAGGTGGTGCTCTGGTAACAAGCAGTGGTATGGGAGCAACGACAGATATATTTCCTTCTGCCTGGATGGGTCATTCCCAGCGATTGTGAGAGATTCTCTTATTGGGTCAGGGCGCGCTTATAAGGAGCGGTGTGAACGAGGGGGCTGGGACTGACAATGCAGTGGTATTGTGGGGTAGAGAGGGGTGTATGGATGATGCAAGTATGGGTGAATTGGGGCTGAATGAAGGGATGGCTCGGGACGCAAAAGAGGGATTGGAGGCGTCTGAGAAGGGGGTGCTCCTGAGTGCAAAACGGGGAGGTGGTGTGGTGGAGCAGCAGGGAGGTGGGCGGGGGAAGAGAAGGCGAGGAGGGAAGGTAGGGAGAGTAGGGGCAGGTGCAGGAGAGGGAGAGGGCCGCCCGGTACTAAGAATTGAGGGCACAGGCGGTTCCCTCACCTTTCCTCGCCCTGCTGAGCCACCTGACAAGAATTGTCAGGAGACTGGTTGTCGCAGTGGAGGCGAAAGGTGGGCGAGGTTGAGATTTTCGCTTCCTGCGGTAGTTCTTGCAGGTAAAGTCCTTCGCGAACTGCTCCTGTCGCGGCGATGTGTTTTTGCTTCGGCCGATGACAGGGCAACCAATTCCTGCTTTTGCGAGTTCCAGGATATTGGTCCTGTTGGCTCCTGGCGAAAAACGAAGCCGGTTCGCGACTGTCGATTGGCGGGGTCAGCAGCATAATCTGCGTCCACGTAGCCGCTGAGGTTGAATGAAGTTGCTGTCAGCGTGGAGTAGGAGAGCCCGATGTCAGGTGTGGATATGAAGTACTGTAGGGCGCGCTCCAGGTCCAGGTGGTTCTCTGCTACTGGCTTGCGGGAATACTGTGCCAGTTGGCTGGCGATGTACGAGAGGTCGGGTCGGCAAGTGACGGAAGCGAACAGCAGGCACCCCAATCGCTGCTGGTAGAGGTGGAGTCCTACGGGTGACAGAGGTTTGTTGTCCGGTTTGTAGTTGCTGCTGGGGGTGCGGTAAGGAGTTGAAAGTGGTGCGGGCGAGATTTTGAAGCGTTCCCCCAGCTGCTCTGCGTACTTAGAAGCTGACAGGTGAATTGCTTCTGGCACGTAAGAGATATTCAGCCCCATCAACTGTGTGACCTTGTGGTTGATGGTGATGTCAACGCGCTGCGCCAGGTTTGCTTCGAACTGGTCCAGGAGCTTGTTGCAGGTGCCGGTGCACAGTAGGTCATCAACGTAGACTGTCAAGAGGATGTAATCTCCGTTGAAGTGGAGGCGGTACATTCCCGGGTCGTGCGGCAGCTGCCTGAAGCCGATCTCCAGGAGTATCTTGTGCAGGTGCGGCTGCCAGAGACGTGGTGCCTGTTTTATGCCGTAGAGAGATTTCTTCAACTAGCAGACCCTGGGATCTCCTTCCCCGTAGGTGTGAGGTTGCTCCACGAAGATGGTTGCGTCGACCAATGCATATAGGAACGCGTTCTTGACGTCGATCTGCCGCAGTGGTATGTGCTTAGCTGCAGCGATGGAGAGTAGGATCCTCACAGATGTATGGCGACAGACGGGAGCGAATGTCTGGTCGAAGTCCATGCCGTGGCACTGGTCGTAGCCACGTACAACCCAGCGTGCCTTGAAACGTTCGATAGTTCCGTCAGCTGCAGTCTTCAGACGAAAAACCCATTTACCGCTTAGCACCCTCCTCCCCTTCACTGCTGCACGATCGACTAGGACCCAGGTGTCTCGTGATTCCAGTGCTTTCAGCTCCGCATCCATGGCTACACGCCACTCCTTGGCGTGTGGTCCGGTGAGGGACTGTCGTGGGTTCTTAGGTTTGACTATGCAGGGGACGGAGGTGACTGCTGTGTGCAGGCCGAGAAGTTGAAGGTCTGTGACGTTGGAGGTGAGCGGGGACCTCCACTATGTCGTCATCTTCGCTTTCGTGGGATGGCGGGGTGTTGCTTGGCGGAGCATGGCGACGTGATGGTCCGGGCGCGGGAGCGTCATCGTTGTCATCGTCATCGTCGTCGCGTGGACGAGGAGGTACGCCAGGATGTTCGTATGTGGGGTCGCGGTCGAGTGCTGCTGTTGCAGCCTCATCTTCCGGCGTAGCGAAGGTGCAGCCTTGGTTGGCGTAGGCTCGTGTGACATGGCGGAGCTGATCCTCGTTCCACTGCTTCAAGGTGAGTCGTTTGTAGAAGAGGATGTCGCGCGCCGACACGATCTTGTCGTTGTTGATGTCAAGGATCAGCCAGCCCGTGTACTCGTGGCTGAGTCCCAGGTGCACTCCCCATCGTGCACGTTGTGTGAACTTCCCGATGGAAAGATTTCCCCTGTTTGCTGTGGTGGAGAGGAGATTGTGCAGGCGTACGGCGTGATTCATGGCGTACGGCCAGTACTTCTTGGGTAGGCCGGACTGATTCGTGAGGGCGCGAACCTTCGTCATGAGAGTGCAGTTGACTCTCTCTACGACGCCTTGTTGCTGGTGAGCGTAGGGGAGTGAGATGTCATGCTTGATCCCCTTTTTCGCGAGAAGCCCTTCCAGCTCGTGGCTGCGAAACTCCTTGGCGCCGTTGGTCTGCCAGATTTTCAGCTTCTTTCCTTATTGTCGTTGCGCGTGTGCGAGCCAGATGCGAAAAACTTCAGGAGCCTTGGAGTGAGTGTCGACGTTTGCGACCCAGACGTGTCGTGAGTTCGCGTCCACAAAGGTGAGTGTGTTGTTCTCATCGTTGAGTCCTTCACAGGTGATTACAATGAAATCGTTGTAAACCTTCTGCAGCTTCTTGTAGTGATTGGTGCTCGGCTCCAGTGAGGGGAAAGCTTGGTGCGTGAGGGCAGCAGTGCGGCAGACGGTGCAGGTGGTTGGGTGTGATGTGCTGGGGGGTTCTGTGCCGTCAGGGTGCAGGAGTGCTCCTGGAAGGAAGAATTTGGCGCGGAGGCAGTTGTTGAATGTCTGGAGCGAGGGGTGTCCGAGTCGCTGATGCCAGAGATCTTCTGCGCGAACTCCAGGGGTGCGCAGGTAACGTGCGTGATATGCGGCTGCTTCTTCTTCTGTTTCATGCGGGATTTCAAGCACGGGTCCTTCTTCTTCTCCTGGATCTGTTTCGTCTTCCTCCTCCTCTGGTTCTGCTGCTGTCTGCCCATCTGCAGGTGCTCTTGTGAGGTAAAGCGCGAGGAAGTTGCGGTCAGGGTTGATGGTGAGTGGAGTCCTGGTGCACTCGATGTGTCGGGCGAATGGATCTGGGCGTAAGATTGGTCCAAGCGCGTTGCGAGGCGGGGTTGATGGTACGTTCCCCTCCTCAATCGTAGACCAGTTCGAGCTCCAGTGATAGGGTGACTGTGGTGGAGATGCGCGTCTATGCGGGGGCCGTTCGAGGGGAATTGTGACTCGTGGGGGTCGTTCTCCGTGTTCAGCGGCAATTTCTCGTTCTATCTCCTCCTGCTCTTCTCTGGTAGGCGGGGCATCCGTGTAGTCGTTGTCGCCCCATCCTCCTGCATCACCCCAGCCGCCTGTTCCCCATCCTTGCGCCGGAGGTGCTGGGATCTCCCCAGGCACCGCGGCGTGCTGATTCCGGACTCCATCCTGCAGCGATGCGCTCTTGGTACAATCTTCTTTGCTGCCGCTTTCTCCATCCTTTCTCCTCCGCTGCCGCTTTCTCTTCCTCTTCTTTTACGCTGAGTTCTTCGGGTTTGTCTGGATCTTTCCAATCTTTGTCAATGATGCGGCAGACGTCGCGGGGGTAAGGGCGCGGCCGATTCTCCTCATCGAACGTCCCCACCGTGGCTTCTTCCAGGATCCAGCGGAGAGTCTCTGCTGCGGGTGTTGGGCGCTCCACAGCTGGCTGCCCGAGCTCTTCATTTTTGGTGCCGAAGACGCGGTGAGTGGTCACCGCCAATTCCATTTCCGTAATGCCTGTAGGTTCGGCTTCGGCACATTCCGCCTCTTGAATTGCCGCAAGACCTCTCTCCACTTCTTCCGTGCGGCTTGTCGTGGGTGTGAAGCATGTGGTGCAGAGTCCGTCGGGGCCGGGTTGGTGCAGATTTATCTCGTGAGGGTGAGGGCTGCGGCGGATCCACGGTCGGCCGTCCGGATGCTGCCATGACTCCACGTTCATGTACGGAAAGTCCAGGGGAACAAGGTCCACGAGCTCGTCTGACGACGACTGGCAGTTGGGTATGTCGAAGTCGAGCACGTAGACACCGTTGAGCGAGCGAGCTCTTCCGAGGTATTTGTGCGACTCGACGGGTGTGTCCGGAGGAGCGTAGGTGAGGATGAGGTCGCGCGTGTAGGGATCCGTAGCGAGCATTACTCCGCAGTCCCTGAGTTTTCCTGCGGACAGCAAGTTGAAACGAAGATCTGGCACGTAGAGCACGTCATTGACCGTGATGTGCGTGTTGCTGTCTCGCGCTTGCAGCACGACAATGCCTTGCGCGCTTGCGCGCAGTTTCTCGTTGTTGGCGACGGTGATGTAGGTGGCGGGAGCGCAGCTGATGTTGGAGATGTAGCGGACGGATCCCACCATGTGTTGGTCGCAGCAGCTGTCCAGGTACCAGGTGTTGTGGTTGGAATTGTTGTTGCGCAGGAGGAGCGCGAGCCGCGGTGTCACCAGAGTCGCCTTGTATCGCCTCTCATAATACTCATCTTCTCTCCATCCCACGGGAACGAACTGCTGGTGATCGTGGGGTGTGCTTTCCCGCAGTTGTATTGGCTGATGCCAATCTTGCTCGTCCTCGTCGTTGTAGTAGTAGTCGTCTGTGAAGGGATTGTTCCACCCTTCCTCAGGTTGAATTAATCTGCCGATAGGCTCGTCCTCTACGTCCGGCGAGGGAGCTCGTGGGCGACACCTTGTCGCCATGTTTGCGATGACGTTTCTGGCAGCTCCGGTCTGAGGTGTTTGTGTCTGTTGCTGCTGATGTTGTTGAGCAGGTGGACGAGGAGCTT